TTGCGAAGTCGCTGTTTCCCCACAAAAACCCCCCTCTCCACCCCTCTCCACCCCACCCATACCTTATGCCTTATGCCCTGGGGCCCGATGCTGGGGCAGAGTTGCTTTTTGGATGCTGTTCGCTGCCGCTGCGCCTTAAATGCGATCCTCTCTGGCCGATGTCGTTGTTTCTGTTGCTGTTGCTGTGCCTCTGCGGCTCTGTGGTTGTTATATCTGACGCTGCCAATCGTTGCGGCTGCACAGTGGCTGAGCCCGCGAGTTTTTTGATCAAAAATCAAAGTATTTCGATGGTTCGTTTTGGCCTTAAACTTTCAATTGCCTTTGACTTCAATTTGTCTTCAGATTTCAAAAAAGCCACGAGAGGGATATTTTGAAAGGAAAATGTTTTCACCTACATTCTGCCATTAATATGAAAATATTTGATTTCAATATATTTCATAAATACAAGATATATTTTTCATATTTAAATTTAATTAATTTTCATTTGCATCATGTTATATTTTCATGATTTGAATATTTTTCATAAAAAAAAATCTATTTTCTATTTAGATGAAATGTATTTACCAAAAATTGAATAAAAGTACTATTTTTATTTGTAAGTATTTTATGTATCGATTAAAAGACTTTTTCTATTTTTTAGCTAAATTAATTTTCATTTACATCATTTTATATTTTCATGATTAATGAAAAAAAAGGTTTTTCCTTTTTTATTTATTTATCTTGTTTATGTTTAGATGAAAAATATTTACCACAAACTAAATCCATGTATTTTATTTATTGTAAAGTATTTTATGTTCCGATTAAAGGACCTTTTTCTTACCTGAAAATAAATAAAAGATTTAAATTAAATAAATTTTCATTTACATCATTTCATAAATAATAAAATAAAAACAATAAAAAAAATAAAGTAAAAACAGAATAAAAAATATTTAGATGTTTTTCTATTTACATATATTTACCACAAATTTAATAAATGTATTATATTTATTTTATGTTTTTTTGTACTTAAAAACCGAACATTTAATATATGTATTTAATTGTCGATTTTGGATTGAAGAAGTTGCAACTATACCAAAACAGAGAAACAGAACGAATTTAAGACCAACAATGCCCCACTTTTCCTGCGAACGAATGGAGATTATATCGTGGAGATCTCTGCCGTGCAACACATGCCTCTAAGCCTCTGCATATATTTCTGACAGTGTCTTTCATCGACCTAATCCACTGTGATTCAGTTAGATGCGGGAAATGGGAATGGGGAATGGGCAATGGGGGAATGGGGAGTGGGGAAATGGGGGAATGGGGAATGGGCTGACTGGCTGTTCGGATGGTTGGGCTGTTGGTTGGATAGCTGGATGGCTGTTAAGGCCTCTTTATATGCGCACCTTAAAAAACAACAACAAGATGCTTAATGCTTTTTGTCTTTTTTTTCGCGTTGCCTCGTGAACGGGGCACACTTATTGCCACGCAGTCGAAGATACACACACACACACAGGCCCAGATACAGATGCAGAGGCAGAGATACAGATACATGGGGCATAGGCTCGAAACCGGAGTTGGAGTTGAAGCTTGGAGCTTGGCCTGGGTCCGACTCTGACTCTGGCACTGGCACTGGGGCTGGCACTGGGGCTGGCTCTGGGGCTGGGGTTTGAGTATTTTTTTTTTTGCTGTTGTTTGAGGCACAGCCAGAGCCGGAGTTGGAGCTGAAGCTGAAGCTGAAGCTGGAGTCGGAGGTGGAGGCACGACGAGAGTTGAGTAAAAAACATGTTTGGATTTAATTCTTTTTATTTATTTTCACCGTCGTCGCTGGCTTTTTTCCATGTTGCTTTCTTTCTTTGCTTTTTGGACATGTATCTGCGAGATACTTTTTGTTGTTGCTGCTGCTGCTGCTGCTGCTGCCTTTGCTGCTTGTGTGCCATGATGATGACGCTGACAAAGGTCTCCCCGCCCCCAGCCGCAGCCCCAGCCCCAGCTCCAGCCACAGCCTGAGCCTCAGCCTCAGCCTCAGCCCCGTTGCCGTTGCCGTTGCCATACGCGATTTTAATGAAGCACTTAAAAAGCATAAATGAAAATAAAACCCAACAAAGGCAGGCAGACAGAGCAGAAGATAGCCTCAGTGCCGGTCCTCACAGACCCTGCCGCAGTCCGGGCCGATCCGCACAACGACAATTGATGTGGATGGAGCCTGTGCCCGTGCCCGTGCCCGTGCCTGTGCCCGAGAGTCAGGCAGGGTCCGTCTCCGTCTCTGGGTCTGGGGTCTGGGTCCATGGGCCTGCGCCTGCAGTTGATGTGCGGCCGTCCCAGCAGCCTCAATCCATCTACAGATACATTACTTTTTACTGTCGAAGTTTGTCCCTCAGATGCGTAGATACACCACGCAAGTATCTCGGGGCTGGCCTGCCTGGGCTGCGCCTCAAATTAATTCTAATCTAGCAAATTACGGCGGACCATTTATGCAGTCATAAAAATTAAAGACGCCGCTCTCTCTCTCTCTCCCTCTCTCTCTGTCTTCCCCTCTTTGGCCGATAACAGAGTGCGTGTGCGTTCATTATGCGGCCCGGCGACGGGGGAACCCATAGTTACACATCTCGCAGATACGCAGATACGCAGATACTCTACCCGTCCCCCATCCATCCCCATCCGCCCCCCCAAAACAGTAGCCAATAAAACGACAAACATTAAAAACATTAACAGTCGCATTACCAATGGACAGGGGGCACGGGTCCGGCCCCGGGATTGATAGAGTCGCCATTGCGAGTCGCCAATTGTCATTGTCGTTGAATAATTAAGCAGGGGCACGACACTCTCATCCTGGCGGGCCCCCGTCCCTAATCCGGGGCCAATTCATTGCTAAATTATTCCAACAAATGGAGCCCCGCTTGGCGGCCGCTCCTCTCCCTAATCAAATTGATTGCCGAATGATGCTTCGATGCCTCCTCCCAGCTTCGATATCTATTTATTTATGCCTATCAAAATGCACGTACGACCCATCGGTGACCTCAAATATGAAGTTCAGATGCCTCGCAGATCGATGATTGAGCTGTTACGAGTCTGTAGAGAGTATTAGGCATACATATATCCTTCTCTGGGATCCAGTTCTGTTGATTCGGTAGGGTACGGATACGGATACGGGTACGGGTACTGTCCCCATGCCTTGAACCAATAGAGTTGATCTTTCTCCACAGCATTCTGTGGAACTATCGTTAGGGGCGTCTGATCTGCTATTCATTGCCATTTTGGCACATCTACTACCATTCATTTGCACTAGAGGTTCATCTCTATTAAGATATATGTAGGGTTTAGCTTCCATTCCGTGCTAACCGGGAAGAGCAACCTTCTGAGATAGAACTCCTATCATCTCTCGTGTACCAGTCTTTGCCACCACTTACGCATCCGTTTGTCCACACAATTCGTTTGCCGAACACCCCACTAAATACTCGAGTGCCCCTACCGCCTACCTTACGCCGAATCTTGTTTGTTTTGCAGTTTCATTCGCTGCCTTGGTTGGTGAGCGGGAGGGGGAGCGGGAGGGGGAGGGGCAGTGGAGCCTCTGTGGGTCGCTGCTCTGCATCGGGGTCGGGGTCTGGGGCATTGAGTAAATGAACACTGCGTTGGGCTCTGCCTCTGCCCCTGCCTCTCCACTCCACGGCTCTGCGCCTACCTCTGCCAATGCACTTTCCGTCTCTGTCCCTCTCGCACTCACTCACTCACTCACTCACTGTGTAATTGTAGGTGGGTGAGAGCGAGAGGGTGTTGCAATTCTGTGCAGTTTTGCGAGTAGTTGCGGGTTCATTGCACGTACACGCACACACACACACACACACACACACACACACTAGCATAGTCTCGTTCACAGAGAGCTCCCAAAACGGACAGCGACGAAACGACCCACCCACCGTCGGGCCGACTGTCGTTCGGTCGGTCGGTCGGTCGGTCGGTCGGTTGCGTGTCGCCGCCTGATGTTTAGAGACCCGGCATCGGCATCGGCATCGGGGCATCGGTCTCCTCGCCTCTCCTCTCCACTCCTCACTCCCCTCTGCATCTGTGTATCCCCCGTGCCCGGTGCTTCGTCTCGGCCGGTCATCGTGGATTTCGCTCTGTTTGCGGACCTGCATTTTACTCTGCACTCGTAGCTGCTCTTTTGTTTCATGTTCGCTGCTGCTGCGTCGCGGAGAGCGCTTCTAATGCCGCTCTGGCACTGCCTCTCTGCCCGGCTCCAGAGCCACCTTCCCGTCGGCCGAAGAGCGATGGACGGAGGGACGGAGGGACGGAGGGCGAGTGCTCTGCGCTGCCTGTTGTTTATCGTCGCCTTTCATTTTCCTTCTTTTCTTTTCCTTTTTTTGCTTGTTTTTCGGTTTTTTGCAGCTCTCTGTCTTCTCTTCGGTGCTTCCATGAGCTTCGCTGCGGCACAACCTCTGCCGCTGCGCTCTGCCTCTGCCTCTGCCCCTGTTGCTGCTGCTGCTGTTGCTGCTGCTGCTGCTGCTCCTCTTCTGTTTCCTTTTGTCTGTTTTGTTGTGTGCTCTTTGTCGTCTTATGGTCCCTTCGCCCCCTATACACCCTTTGCCAAAGCACCCGCACCTACACAGACGTCGTTGTCGTTGTCGTCGTCGTCGTCGTCGTCTCTGCCTGTAGCTTTTTCTGCTCTGCCTGTGTTCTGCCGCTGCCGCTGTCGCTGCCTTTTTTTTTGCACATTCTGCCTGTTCTCTCTTCTCGCCTGCATTTTGTGTATCTCATCTCGTGTACGCTTTCGCTGCCTTTCCAATCTCTTCGTTCGGCATCCATCGCTGCGCCCCAACAACAACAACAACAACAACAAAAACAAAAAGAAGAGGTAGAAACAGCAACACCAATACGCCGCGCGTCGACGCCACCGCCGCCGCCGTCGTCGTCGTCGTCGTCGCCGTCGTCGTCTCCGTCATTCGTTTTCTCTATTTTCCTCAATCGCTTTGCCTTTTCATTTTCAATTCGCATATTTTTGCAACTCTACTTTCAGTTATTCGCCGATAATTGATGTCAAAGGACGCAGTGCTGTGCTCCGTCGTTGCTCCGTCCGTTCCGCCCAGACATCGCCGCCTCCGTAGGAGCCCCCGTACAATCCGCATCCTCCCGGACGACAAACATGCCCAAAGAGGATCCATTCGTGAATCGCGCCCAGCTGCTGAAGGCCATCAAGAAGTACCCGGAGATATGGGACTCCAACAACAAGCTGCACATGTGCCGTAGCGTCACGTCGCCCATGTGGACGGAGATCGCCGAGCAGTTCGGCGGCCATGTACCGACAGGTGAGTCGATGCGGGTTGCCGCAGGGTGGCAGGGTTGGGTTTACCTATCTTTCCACTCCAGGCCAGGGCTGGCCACTCGATGGCCCTGGACCAGGGCCTCGCGTTCGATTCTCGCCTGCGCCTGAGACCGGCGCGGATTTTTGCCGCTTGTTGCGCTCTTGCTCTCTTTCGTTCTTTCTTTTTGCTCTGCCTTCGCCGCGACGCTGTCTTTTGCTGTGTGTGACTGCACGAGAGTGTGGGTGCCTGGGCTAAAAATAGACACAGGGCACGCGGAACGGGGAACGGGGGAATAGAGGAGAAGGGGATGGGGATGGGCCTGCGTTGGGGGAAATATTGACAAACTCTGACTGATACTCGGGATGTAATGCAAACAGAAGCACATTTCCTCTAAGATTATTTGAGATTGTCCGAAAATAGTTGTACAGCGCCCCCCCGTAACCCACATCCGATAAGATAAGAACTTTCAAGGCACCCATTTAATTATGGGAATGAATCTTAACTCGAAAAACGAAAGCAGAGATCATAGATCGATATTAAATGAATATTTTGAATTTAATCGATAGAAAAACCGATTAATCGATCTCATGGCTCTTTTGGCTTATCGATTAAATAATATGTTTCCTCTTTCACCCGATCTCGTACCGCAGTTAAGCTCCAGTCGATCTGGAGCCAGATGAAGTACCACTACCACAACCTGGTACACCGCCAGATCCTGCACAAGGAGCGCTTCAACACCAAGTGGGAGCACTTCGATCCCATGTCCTTCATGTACAACATCACCGTGGCCAAGATCGTGGGCGCCCAGGCCAGCGGCAGTGCCTCCGATCCGCCCCCAACCGCCGACCAGCCGCTCCAACTGGCCGTCTCCCCGCCGGCGCTATCCAACCCAGCCCCCATAGCACAGCCGACTGCAGCGCCGCCGCCGCCGCTGCCCAGTGCATCCCATGGACGTGGACGTCCGAGCGGCAGCCTCAGCTGGTTGCACTCCCCCGTGCCGCCGCACTCGCCTGTGCCACAGTCGCCGCACCACCTGATGGGACAGCCGGCGCAGGCGCCACCGCCGCCGCTGCCTGGCCACGGCCTGTCGTACACCGCCTTCACTGGGCTCCTGCCCCCCGCTGCCGCTCCAGCGCAGCCCCCGGTCGCTCCACCGCGAAAGCTGGGCCGCCCCAGCTCGCTGCACAACAGCATGCGGAGCCGCATCATCGACGCCATCAAGGCCCGTCCCTCGCTCTGGGCCGGGCGGCAGCGGAGCGAAAAGGGCCAGGGCCAGAGCCGCACCTCGGCCGTGTGGAAGGAGGCGGCCATCGAAATGGGACTAACGCCAAGTAAGTTGAGAACCGGAAGTGGGACTATAATGAGGGGATAATGATGGAAAGATCGGTGTTGAGGTAGGGGAAGGGGATTATCCATTCGATTGGCCAGAGTCAAGGACATTTTATTGGAGGCTTGACATGCCACCTCTGAGCCTTAGCGACCTCTGAGCGACCTAGGGCTAGCATCTGCCATCCTGCAGAGACTTTAAACACCCTACCTTTTCAGCTCTCATGCAGACCCGCTGGTCGATCATCAAGCAGCGGTACGTGGACGAACTGCAGAAGGAGCGTTACACCCAGTACTCGCATCAGGGATTCCGCTCCAACTGGGAGCACTTCGAGCGCATGTCCTTCATGCGCGACATCCTGCTGAAGAAGGTGGACGAGCGGGAGCAGACGCGCGAGCATATCCAGGAGATAGTCAGCGAGCAGCAGCAGCACCACCAGCACCAACAGGTGGGACAGCATCTACAGCACTACCGACCGCCGCCGGGCCTGCTTGGGCTCGCCGAGCATGCGCAGGACATGCCCATCGGGCTGGTCCAGCACCAGATGCCCCACCTCGAGGGGGTGCACGTGCACCCATCGCTGGCCATGCACCCCCAGCATCCGCAGGCCATCCTAGCTGCCGGCGCCCGTCGCCGGGTCAAGCACGAGTCCGACCTGGAGTGGGACCCATTCGAGATGATCCTACATGTCCATGGCACGGGCGAGCCGGCCGCCAACTGAACCCAAGACTGAGAGCCCAGCCCAGGAGCCAAACGGGAGAGACACAGACAGACAGACAGCCTATGTCTAAAAAGAATAATCGCCAGATGTAAAACCATCAACTACAACTACTAGTACACCCCCAACACTACGCAAGCAATACTCATACAATCCATTACCAACCACTCTCACTTTTTTTTTACTACTCTGCAATCGAAAATACATCACTTAGTGTACACGCAAATCGAATGGAGTCCTGGTGTCCTTTTTCAGTGGGTTGTTATCGGAATCTTCTGAGGGAACGGAGGAATAATATTTCAGATCTAAAGCTGGGAAGGCATGGTGGCAGATCGGAGCACCCGGCAAACCATTCGCCGCAGGAGTTTGTGTTTTGGAAGCATGAATCTAATGTGCGAATGGAGGAGCAGGCTTGAATCTGGATCGAAGCCGATGAGCAAGCCGTTCATTGGTTCTGGCGGTGTCTCAGTTTTAGCATTCAAAATCAGCACTTTCGGATGAGCGGAATATTGCAAATTTGGCTCGTACTCGTGTGCGAGGCGAAGAAACAAAGCAGCTTTTCGATGTACTTATTGGTGTTGTGTGCCATTCTGCCATACGACTGATGAATCCCAGAAGTGTAACTTTTTAAAAGAGTTATAGATTAGAGAATCTCCTTAAGACCCGATTGAACACTTGTAATGGTCCCGCCTCAATCAGTAATCCAATGCAATAATCCTGATGCAATAATGAACGTCTCGTCTCCAGTGAAACGGATTCGAGAACGCCTGCCTCAGTGGAGAAAACTAAATTATGCTAATTTTCACTATGTGTGCAACATTTGTCGATTGCCAGAATCGCAAACATTTTTCGCGCTCCCCACGCGGGCTCCCGTTTTCCTTTCCCTTTCCCTGTGCACTGACGGAACTCATCCAATAAACCTCTGCCTGCCTCTGCCTCTGCCTCGAACGAGGGGGGTTCTGGCTGAGGGCCAGGCCAGGCCAGGCCAGGCCAGGGCTCTGCTTAACTCCACGCGTAATTCCAATCACGTGCCACAGCCGCACACGGCGGAGAGGGAGAGCACAAGAAAAGTTCTCAAACTGTAAAACGTTTATCAAAATATCCCCCGGCCTGCCATGCCACATGCCACATGCCCCCCAATCCGTGTTCTATATAATTGGTTGCCTTGTGTCCTGGGCCAAAAAGGATTCTCTCGCCCACGATCCGTCCGTGACGGTGGCGGCAGCGTCGGCAGCGGCGGCGCCGTCTCCGACAATATCTTCAATAATAAATGCATTTCACTGTCGAATTTGCCGCATTCTGCACAACACACGTGCCTTAAATAATTCACATCGCATTTAGCGGCGTTTTTGCCAAGCCTCTAATGGGCCAGCCGATTTGTGCAGGGTCGACAATGGGTGAGGGGTGGGGAGGGGAGGCGGAGGCATACCGAGGCGTGGCACGCCGCCAGGTAAGTGGAAAGTAGTTGGCCCGGACCCCCCAACCCCCCGCGGTCCCCGCCCCATCCGCTCCATTCCGTGCTCTCTGGCTGGAGGCGAAAATTTGCCTAAAAACTCAAGTAGTTTGCTCAAACTTTTATGCTCCGTGCATTTATCAACGCCACGAACGGACGGACAGACGGACAGACGGACGGACGGACGCACGGACAAAATGGAAAGAGGCGGAACGAAGGAGAGATTCCGTGAAACACGGCAGTGGCGGTGGCAGTGGCAGCGGCAGCGGCAGTGGCAGCGCAGCAGCCTGGAGAAAGGACTGACTGCCGTGTAAAACTTGCTCCTTTCCGAGAGGTGTATGTGCCCGTAGGTGAGATGATGGAGCGTTATTTAAATGGTTTTCGGATGCGTACGTGCGAAAATGTTAGTAATACGATGTATCGCCCCAAATGGGATTTGCGCGCCCCGAGAAAATATTTGCGATTTGTTTGTTGCGAAAATCATGGCATTCGCCAATCTCAAGATAAATATTATACATAAATGTATGCTCTAGGTTTTGTATTTTAAAAATTGATATTAAAAATTTAATATTTAATTAATTCTCTTAAAAGGAAAGTCATAAATATTTGTGATCTGCACTTCAATTTGATGTTTCTTTGAATTTCTCAACCTTTTCTAGCTACAATTTAATGAACCTTCGATTTTTGCTTTGAATTTTTTTTTAATTTTTTTAATTTAAATTTTATATAAAATTTAATATTGTTATTTAAAGAAAGGGCACTGCCGAGAGTAAAATTGCAACTACTTATTTTTTATTTACAAATATATTTATAAATTTAAAAAATTAAAAATAAAAGTTATATTTTGCCGTATTTTAATAATAAAAATTTTAAAAAAATTTGTATTTCATAATTTTTATTATAGAAAAAATTATAATCATCACGATCACTGGTATGTATATGTATGTATGTATAAGCGTACAAATGTACATATGTACAAACCATTAATATATCCATAAATAAAATTAGTTGTGATATTTTTAATATGGAAAACCCGCAAAAATATTCTTTAAATATGAATGGCATATCGTGTTTAATGGGGGTTCTGGGAGCTGTTAGGCGCATCTTATCGCTCTCTATGGGGAGTCGTTTAATGTGGCATGTGGCACACAGTTCTTTAGAATTTCATGCGATTGATAAGTTCTTGGGCAACGGGCACTCGCACTAACATTTCTCCTTGGATCCCTGTAATGGCTTTCGAGTGGAAAAGAGCTCCGGCTCGCGTAAATGCTCGGGTGGTGATTCATTTCCGGCGGAAGTACGCATACACACGCACTCATCCACACCCATGCACACACCCATACACACTCAACGGTAAATCTACAGGTACAGGTATAGCAACAGCACTTTCCACGCCCACTGCCACCCACCCACACACCCACACACACACATGATAAGAATGCTTATGTGAATTATCGCACATTTTAGGGTATTGCAGGCGTTGTTGGGGGATGGAAAGGGGTGGAAGGAGGGGGGACAAAACAGAGCCCAAAAGAACTAGAAAACTTGTCTAAAAGTGCGCGCTCCACTCATATCTCCCAGGCGGACGGACAAACCGACAGTAGCGCATAAAAACTTTTAAATTTACTTTTGCCAAGAGTTTCGCTCTACGCCCACGCCCACGCCCACGTACCCCTAGACCTAACAAATCCGCCGTACTCCATTCGCCATACCCATGCATATTCATTTCAAAAATCCACACACACATGCACACATGGGCAAGTTTCTTGTAAAAGTCTCCGAAAACCAAGCCCCCCTCCCCCGCCCGCAATCAACGAGCTGTGAGGGAGAAAAAAAAAAAACAAAGTTTGAGGGGGAGGCCCAAAAGGTGGCCTGGAGGGGGCCGCTCCAGTGCGGTCCGGATACGGATCCGGAGCGGCATCGCTTAATAGAGCTGCCAAAAATTTGTGTGCCTCCAGGTTGCGCGTCGCTTGTCGGCAGACGCCGCGTTGCAAGCTCTCAAAAATTGCTCACTCCACCCAGACCCCCGAAAATCCTAGCCAATTCCCCCGCCTGCCAAAGGCAACTATGATATTTCTGTCTTCCCTTTTTTTTTCTCTCTTTTGGGCCACTCTTGTCTGTGTCTTGGCCTTGCCACAGTGGGCGCAAGCCCCTCATTTGGGCAATTATAAATGCGAGTATAGGGCCAAGACCCGCCCCCCCTCCAAGTCCAGGGCCACTCTATTGGGGGGGCAGTGTATAATGATACATTTCGACCTTTTAGCTTCCTGCCAGCACACGTTCCCTCTCGATATAAGCCTCTTAAGAGCCAAACCTGGCCAAGATTCCTATCGAACCTAAGTGGGGGTGGGGGTGGATGGAGGGGAGGTGGGGGGTTCGTTGCCTTTTTCTTACCGAAAATAGCTTTAGCTCGATAAGTTCTTTATTTGACAAGTACCCCACTGTGCCTTTTGGGGGCTCCTTTATGCGCTCCGCTCTCCACTTTATGCTGTCCCTTTTCGAGAGGGCGTGAGGGCGGTGGGGAGGGGGGGGTTTGCTGTAAAATGTTGCCCCACGTATCCTGCAGCAATTCGTAAACTAATTCTACATACGTGCCCGTGTCAGCTATCACCCGACCTCCTCCCGCCGCCCGCCTCCCGGCCCTTTCTGGTTCCCGCAGAGCGACCAAATCGTTACGTGCGTTGGGCCTTAGCCCAAAAACAGGGCTCTGGCTCTGGCTCCGGCTCTGGCTCTGGCTCCGGCTCTGCCTCTGCGCCCTGGCTGTGTGCGTCATGTTTTGATTGGCGTCATGTACACGGACGGATTCGGTACGGCACTGCAGTAGAGCCCAGGCCCAAGCGCCGGGCGGGGGGAAAGGGGATTTAGATTCATTTTTTGCTAATAAATAATTGCATTTTCACCTCAAGAACTCACTGACAGACGATGCCCGCCGGGGCTCCATGAGGACATGAGGGTGCCCTGGCGGGGTCTGGGGGTGACACAATTCAATTTTCCGGCGTTTCCGTTCCGTCTGCACGGTGGAGGGGCGGTAGGGGGGGGGGGGGGGGTGGCATAGCCAGTTTTTGTAATTCCATTTCTGATTTCATATTTTGCTGTCACTGTGAAATGATTCAATTTTACAGATTTCTGAGCGCAGGGAATGGCACATACAAGCACAGATATTTTGCATGCACGTGTGTATCTATGTATCTGTGTATCTTTTCTATTTTTCCTGTTATCAATCACAAGAGAAATGCGAATTGTGCGCAAATTTGTTGCATACGCAAGAATACTCATCGTATTCGCACTCGCACTCGTATTCACACTCGTATTCGCATTCGTATTTGTTATATTTTATATTGCTTGGCAATCAGAGCGTCGCTTCAGATGATTGACAGACGGATTGGTATTTTCTTTTTCTTTTTTTTTTTTGGATATCTTGCAGCTGGAAATTCAGTGACCTGAAACATTTCAGAGTGTGTCTGTGTATCTGTGTATCTATGGATATGCCATCCATCGGATATTGCCTCCGCCTCCGCCTGCCGATTGGAAACATTAAAAATTCCGAAAAAAAACAACATTACTTGACACTTGCTTTGATTGATTCAATTTGAATATTCATTTGGGTGCATTCCATGGAAAACATTAAGCAGTTCCCTTGTTCGCATGTCCTTCGCTTCGACTCAATTAGGTGTGAGGTTAATTGGTCCAGTTTCGATTGCACAATCCGCCGGCAAGAGGCGGGATCCGTAAGATTTATTATGATTTTCGAGAGAAGATATTGTTCAAGGTAAGTCCC